CTATTGTTGGTCAACCTCGAAAATTTGCATAATTACCTATTGTTGGTTATATATGATGCATATATATACCATCTATATTATACAAGAGGCCGGATTGGTGATACCACTCTTTTTACACAATTTTTTATATAAGTTTTTGTGGGCTCACTCTATAATATATTTTAACAATTTGAACATTCTATCTTTTAAGTCTTCTCTCAAAGATCATATTTACAAAAAATTACTCAAATAACCTTATGACCAATGGATAAAGGTTTATGGTTTCTTTGTAAGACCGCATTCATCTATTTCTTTCAATGCAAATAAATGTCTTAATAATTTTGGTTTTGTCTAATTTTTTTTATAAGGATGATCTATGAATGATGATACATTACGGAGTGGGCCCATAAAATCTAATGTAACAAATTATGTAAAAAAAAAAAAAAATAGTATCACGGATCTGTTCGAATAAATAAAAAAATATAATTATCTTTGTCAAATGTTTTTTTTTTTTTATTGATGATAATAAATTGTCTTCTTTAATAATGATTAGAAGGAAACCACACCCCATCATCAGTTTTCAACATCATGTGATAGATAATTACTCAAAAACAAACCAATAAAGAACAAAAAGGCGCCCACAAGTTAATTAGTCAAGTCTTAACCCACCTCATTTCCACAAGCCCACCCTACTCTCTTTACCCAATCCCTTCCACCCACGTCTTCAAATTTCAAACTCCACGAAACCGAATATTGAATTCAAGTCATAGGAGGCTGCGCACGTGACTGTTATCCAAGACTCGCTGCGTTACTTTGTTACATTGAATCTCAGCCTGAATAAATCAAATCCTTCATCATTTTTTAAATACAATTAGAAGGGATAATATTTAAACTTGGAACAAAAAATGACCTAATTATCAGGCCAATTAAAGGCCATACTAATTTGGTTTCTCACGTATATGGAGTTATTCTTCCTTAATTATATGACAACGTAATATTGTTTAACTGTACAAACACTATAATGTGACTCATTCATTCTCTTTATCAGCTTCTATAATATTATTTATAAAAAAAATTGAGAAACCATCTAGTCATCCATATGAATCAAATAAGTTGACAGTTAATTATGAGGTATTACTTGTTAACATAATTGTTAATTTATTCAACACTTTTGGATCCCTAATGATATTAAGATGAAAATAAAGATAAGGAACGGGACGCATTATTACATTAGAACATCTCCAATCATATTCTCTAGTTTGGGGTGTCATAACAACTATGGACCAATAGAAATAGAGTTATTATATAGAAAAATATTAAAATATTGGAAATTAATACTAAGAGCTCCTTTTCCCTAGATTTAGGAGCTCATTGGAGAATTCTTATCTTAGGAGATGGATCTCATTTAGCGAGTCCATTGAAGATGCTCTTAGTATATTATGTTATGTCGTTATGTAAAGAAAAATAACTCATTACATGTAAAAGCGAAAACATGATTATTTTATTATTTTATTATAAAATGAATGTGAAAAGGTTTTGATTTAACGTATACTATGAACAAATATACCTACATTGTAATACGTGAGTGAATTGATAACATCATGCATCACCAAACGATAAACATCGATAAGCATGTGGGCCATGTAAGTACAAGAATCTTCTATGCTTTGCCTCCCATTTTCTTCCCTTCTCTTCTTCCTAGAAGCTTACCCATGAGACCCCAAAAAGGGCAAAAGTCTCTGTCCGTACCTTATATATATATATGTAACCCTCGGGCAAAACTAGGTTATCAAAACTCACCCTCACTTCTCATCACTTTTTGTACACAGTTTCCTTTGAACTTCAAACTTCAAACTCTTTGTATATATAACATTTCGAAATTCGCAGAGGATCTTCTCTGTTTGTTTTAAGTTTCAAAAAACTTCTGGCAATGAACGTGCTCGGTGTGAACGTGAAGAGCCCGAAGAAAAGCAAGAGAAGCAGATCAAAGGGTGGTGTCAAAGTTGTCTACATATCAAGCCCCATGAAAGTTCAGACGAGTGCCTCTGAGTTTAGGGCACTTGTCCAGGAGCTCACCGGAAGAGACTCCGACGCGGAGCGTTTTATGGAGACAAATAACGGTGGTCAACATCAACAGCAAAATGTTCATGAGGATTCTCATGAGCAGCAGTTGAACGTGCTGATGCCTCAGCTTCCTTTCCAGAATTCCTCTTATGAGTATCCGAATTGCGCTTCGGATTCTTTGTTTAAATTATTTTCTGGGGAGTTTGGGCTGGATGTGCTCACAAGCTATGATCAACTTTAAATTTTATAGTTAGTAATAGATCTCTCTGTAATTATTTACTATTTTTGATCGATTAGTGCTAATATGGTTTATTCAAGCCTGCTGGAGTTGTGGTGTGGTTCAAAACAGTACTTCAAGCAATCCACGAATAAAAGGAAAAAAATAATTATAATTGCTATGTATCATATTGTGGTGGTGCTTTTAAAAGAATGGTTAGTTGCGACTGACAAATGCAATGTTTTTGTTGGAGCCAATGTTTTAGGCTTCTTGATAAAAAGTGTACACATTCAGACTTATCAAATGCATCATTGTGACGGTATCTTAAATAAAAAAATATATATATAATATAGTTTGAGATACATTAGAGTGATATACCTGATATAACTATATCGTCATTTGGAGGATGGTTGTGATAAACTCAATCACTTTATATGTTTGTTATTTGTTGGTCAAATGAGTCACACTTCTTATCAAGGAGCCTAAAATATTGCCAAGCGACTATACTATTCAATTGTTTGCAAATGGGAGAAAATCTTCAATTATAGGACCGCTCCATGGTCAGATTTATAAAGTCGTTTAATAAGAAGTTGTCATGTTGCCATAAGTGGACAAACAGGGCAGAATTAACAAAAAAAAAACCAACAAGTACGTGTGTTTTTGAGAGAGATTGGGGTCAGAGAAAAAAAGGTCGATGGCCTAAAGTTTTTCCCCGCCAAATAGTGCAGCTGGAGTTGGATTTAATATGTTTTAAACAAAATTATACCCTTTCGACGAAGGAAGATTTAGTGTCTAGGAGGACAATTATCTGAGATTAACATGATTTAAGCATACAACTCATCTCTAATCCATTACCTAAGATTGATAAACTTGGAAACCGCAAATATACGTACATACGTCTTCATACATGTACTAGGATTACCAGTATATACAAGACAGGTTGACCAGGCTCATCCAAGCATCCAACAATCAACCTAAAACAAAACAAACACAAGAGCCTATATCGGAATTCAGTTCCTGTGCTGCTCACCGATGTTCACAAATATACGGGCTGGTGATGATGTGCACGATAACCTGGATTATTTCAACGTTAAACCATCGTTAAAGAAAGAGAAATGTCTCTCCAGACGTTTACACTGCGAAAATGCAGAAAGGAAATAACAGTAACTAAGAAGTAATAAGAAAAGCAAATCACGGCATTGCATCCTTGTTCAGATAAACTCTGTAATATTCATCAATTGGACACCACCACATAAGCTTGACATTGCAAATTCGACATTTAAAAACACCAAATACAACGGTCAAAAAATTATAAATCTCTTATTGTGTCTACTTAGGATGTCGTATGCTTTTGACTTATCTCTATACATATGCAAGTGTTAAGCTGGACGCCAAGTGCAGACGATAGTACATCTCCCTAGACAAGCAAGCGGGATGCAGCCACCCTTCCAAAAGCGATCAGAGACCTTCCCTGCCCAACCCAACTCTGTCCTCCTCCTTCGTGAAGACAGTTCCAGTTACCTGAATCCATACCCATGTTGAAGGTGACAGTACCTTAACGCTCCATTTCAGCACCTTAAGGGTGAACCTTCATCCTCACCTGGCATATATGCTAACCTCGTGATAAGGATGAACCTTCATCCTCTCCATGCACAAAAATTCCCCAAATGCATTCAAGCCAAACTGCTAAAAGGGCTAAATGACATGAATGTGGTCTACTGGTTCACATCCCCAACAATAGTTGAAGAAGGCGACATTCAGAGAGAGACATAAAAATGGATGCACATCCGATTGATGACACTCAAGTGAAGAATACTTGCAAAGAAACAATCATTATTATGACAAATTAGCAGTTGAAATGAATCTGTAATTCAACATAGCAATAGCGAAAATATTTCAAATTAAGTATCAACATATGGATATACCGACCATGACAATGCAACTCCTAATGCAAGAAAGATTACAAGGTGACTCCCACCATTTGAAATTTAATTCAGAGGTGTATATCTAATTGCGGTTATATATCTCATATATTTGCAAAATGAAGTTATTATCTGCGTCTAAACTCTAAAGATATATGAACTTTGAAAAAACAGAGAAAAGATGATTGCAATGAGACTCGATCTGGTTGCCTATTATCTATGAGAATCAGAGGCAAAAACATTTTAAGTCAGTTTTTCATTTTCTTGGCAGTTTCACTGGACATGTTTAGACTTTCTGTCACAAGCCTGTAGTAACTAACAACATCAGGAAAATCACATTGAAGCAATTATATTCTCATGTTTTGGAGCAATAAATGGCATGCCTGATAAGTTATGTCCAAGAGAAAAAGTGAAGCCATACCAGAAAACTAACATCCAAAAATGAACAAGAAACTTTTCTTTTTCTATTTTTTGAGAGAGAAAAATTTATCCTCTGCCACTCTTTTGAGATCAGCTCATGTCCAGAGGCATATTGAATAGATTCATCATCAAAGATACCAATGGCCAAATAATGCTTCATTACACATCCCGTCAAAGTGGGATTTTTTGAACCCAAAACCCCCAATCAACCTCCAACTGCATGTATTGTGTTTCTCACCATTAAGCTCTCATTAAAAAGGCTAGCACACCCAGCGCATCGATTCCATATTGACCTGGTTCCCTACAAATCAACCATGTGAGGACAATATTAACAGGGCAAGGAAAAAAGGACTGACAGCCTTTGATATACAGTGATATAAAAAATGGACAAAACCTAGTTGTTTTCATTCCTCTCAGAAAATATATTAGGGTTGAATTTCCAATTTACTTTCGAGGCGAACCAAACTCAGGAACAAAAGATGCAACTGGCAATGACACAGTGAGCATGCCAGCTCAAGAGGTCTTGCGATAAGAATTACATACATACAAAAAAATAAAAGCAGCTAGACAATGGAGCATAAGAGCAAGCAAATTAATTTACCAATTGTGACAAACAAGCTCATACATGTTAGTGACGCAGCATCAACACACCAAGATTACACATCCTCAATTCCAACCTTCCCTTGATACACATTCCACAACTGAGGCACCTCAATTTGAAATTTGGTCACGAACCTCTCTAGGAAGAGCCTTTCCTGAGGCTGCATCACATAATCCAAACTCAAATTTTCATCTATCAGTCCTTTCAATCGCAAAACCTTAACAACCAAACATTGTGGCCTTATTCTCTTCTCCAAACTGTGACGCATAACCCGCGGATACCGTGCAATCATTCCAGATGGCCATACCATCTTGTTCACTAAAAAGTCAATCACCTGCACTAGTTTCTTCTCTGACACAATTGTAAACTCTGGATTCTTCCTGAAAGCGGAGAGAAAATCATCCTCAGACCAACCCCAACTCATAAAAATCTTGCAACTACGTTTCCATATCAACTTACTACTCTTACCACACAATGTATGCAGTGCAAACACGAAAGTAGAAGTTTGGAGACTAAATCCCATTTCCTTAACCTCACCCACAATTTTTCCGAACCTTTTATGCTTGTTCATCGTAGCATGAGTGTAATGAGCTAGCAACAGAGAAATGGATGGTTGAGGCATACCTAGTTCTCTTAAAAGGCCAATATTTGGCACCACATCCTTGCAGTGATCAACCAAGAATATATCCACGACCGGCGCTTGAAAACACCGATAACATTCTTCTCAGAAAGCAAACTCCTGAGGAAATTATAAGTGGGCACAATCCGCTTCTCCAAGCTCACTGTCAAAAGACAGGGATTGGCGGCCACAGTTCTTGCAAGGTCCTCCCTTGAGACTCCAACCGAGGCGAAAAACTCGAGCTTTGGCAAAACGGTTTTCTCTGGACGGGATAAAAGAGTCTTTGGACAGGAACGAACTTCGAGATCTGGAGTTGGGAGAATCCATGGCTTCTCAGAAGGGCCAAAACGGAGTCTGCTTTTTCTGGGGTTTGCAAATTGAGCAGCTTGGAGGCTGAAAAATGACTTCCGGAAGGGAATAAGATACTTCACACTCGACAATTGAGGTACTTCGATATCTGATCACATATCTCTCCGAGATGTACTTCTCCTTAAACATCCGAAAAATAACTCAAACTCAAGTTTCCATCTACCAATCCTTTCAATCTCAAGCTTCCAATATTTTCTTGTCCGATACACTGCAGACGGTAAAAGCGGAGACAAGATCATCCTTGGACCAGCCCTTCCTCCTTAAAACTTCGAGATTTCAATTCCGTCTCAACTTAGTCTTTGACACAACGCATGTAGTGGATTCACAGAGGAGTTTTCAAGATTGAATTCCATGATTCTCCACCGAAACGGTGGTGCAATGATTGAAAAATAGAGAAATGCATGAATGGGGCATAAACCAATCTCAAAGACCAAATATTTTGCATCACGTTCACGGAGAGAGTTTATGGGTTTGATCTGTCTCTCCAAGCATCTTATCAAAAGCTCCGAACTAAAAGCCAGAATTCTCGCAAGGTCCTCCCTTGAAACTCCTAGAAACCTGAAATAATTATGCTTTAGCAGAAGAGTTTTCTTAGGATCAAATAGAAGAACTTTCAGAGCATGACCTGACAACCTTTAACATCTAGGTTCGATGGAATCCATGGTTTCTCAGAAACACCAGAACGCTGCAAATACTGCATATTAGGCATCCTATTCTCCTTAACATGAATAACAAGCTTACACAGTGTTCTAACCTTCACTCGGTAACTAATGGGGCTTTACAACATATCCACAGAATATAAACTGTGAACAAAAGATTTTAACAACTCACTCCGTTTATGGTGCCTTCATTTACTTCATTTTCTTGTCAGTTTCACAAGAAGTTCAAACTCCCGTTTCAGCCATACGCTTGCAAAAACTAATAACGGCAGGAAAATCATATGGATAAGTTTTCCTGATCTGCAGCACTGAAAGCATGCTAACTGAAGATTCAGTAGCGATTAGAAGCATTAATAGAGAACTATCATCCATGTTAAGAATAAAAAGGTGTACTGAAGAAAGAAATAGTCTGTTGACCGGCAAATTATCTGAGAGGAGAAATTATAAGTAACCAATCCACAACGTACATCTCTCTTGATATCAGAAGATCTCCAGAAGCTTTCAATTGCCAAATGAATATTCGTTAAGGTCAGAACAAAATGTTAACACAAAAGAAACAACAAAGCAATGATGCTTACCCACTTCGTTCATGCCATGTTAACCTAGTTTCCGACAAACCAACCATAACCACTGAAGTTTGTTCCTATGAATAAAACATGGCCACATGAAGTAGGCTACTTGCTTATGGATGATTAATAACAGAAATAAAGTACAGAGAGCCATAGATATCATATAATTTGTAAAATGGACTTGACTGACCCCAACGAAAGCAATATACGTGCATATTCTCTAAAAACTGTTTTCAAAGCTAACCAAATTGAGGAACTATAAACTGCATGAGATTGGTGACACTGCCAGAAGCAGGCAAACTTAAGCAGCAAGAAAATATGTAAGATTGACTAAAAGCGTCTATGCGATGAAGTCAAATAACGAACAAATGAATTTACTTCCAATGAAATTAATAACATGTTGGGAACAACATAAACATTACTTTAGGACCATGTCTATGGTACAATAACATTGTGCTAAATGCAACAAATACTTATGGGGGCTAAAGCAATTTACAAGCTCACCCGTTTCAAGGTATCAAGATCGTACATCCTCGACATCCACTTTCCCTTGATACATACTAAGCAACTGAGGTACATGTTTGAGATATTTAGTTACAAACCTCTCTATGAACTGCTTCTCTGGAGGAAGCAACACCGAACCCAGATTCAAGTTTTCGTTTATCAATCCTTTCGACAACAGAACCTTAACAACCAAACACCTCGGAATAAGTCTCCTCTCCAAGCTGAGACTCAAGACCACTGGATACTTGGCAATCATTTCTGAAGGCCATCCCATCTCATTCACTAGAAGTTCCATTGCTTGCAGCAGTTTCTTCTCTGACACAATCATAAACTGCGGGTTCTTCCTGAAAGCAGAAAGAACATCGTCCTCAGACCAACCCCACCTCCTAAAAACTTCTCGACTCCGATTCCATATCAGCTTATTCTTCCCACACAATGAACGCAGTGCATTCACAGAAGTTGATTTTTCGAGATTAAACCCCATTTCCTTAACCTCACTCACAAGCAAACCAAATTTTTCAGGGCTCACCATCAAAACAGTAGTGAAGTGAGCCAGCAACATAGAAATGCACGATTGGGGCATACCCAGTTCTCTCAAAAACCCAATGTTCTCCACCACATTGCAGTTACTCTCTACAAAAATACACGAGTTGTGCTTGAAAATAGCAACAAGCTTCTTCTCAGAAACAATACTCCTCAGAAAGTCGTAAGTGGGAATAATCTGTTTCTTCAAACTTCTCGAAAGAAGCTTCGGATTGAAAGCCAGAGTTTGCGCAAGGTCCTGCCTCGAAACTCCGAGAGACCGGAAAAACTCGAGCTTCGGCAAAAGGGTCTTCTCCGGGTTGGCTAAAAGAAGCTGCGGACGCGACCTGACGAGCTTTGAGATTTGGTTTTCAGAGAATCCATGGCTTCTGAGAAGGGCCAAAACAGAGTCCGCTCTTTCAGGGGAATGCAATTCGACCCACTTGGATGCTGAAATCGCGCCTTCTGGCGACAACCCACATGAGTTTATGAGGTAATTGACGGTGAAATTGTGTTGGTTTTCTGAGATTTCTGTGGCAATGGGTCTGTAGAGTAACTGGTTTTGAAGAGAAATGCGTGAGGGTTTTAGATCTCCGACGATAAATCTTTTAGTTTTGGAACTGAATGTAGTGCCAAATGTTGAATGACCAAATCCAAGGCTCTTCAGACTGTAGAGCGTTACCATGTTAGATGTTGATGGCGCTCAGTTTCGACTGGAAGTGGAGGTCTTCAGAAAACGGAACTGAAAACGTGAGCTCAAAGGCGACTGGAAGAAGGTAGTACTAGCGCAGATGAAAGTTGCAGGCGGGCCGGTGGGCGCGGTTCGGGTTAATCGGTTCTATCTTGAAATTGCGGCTTTGAACCAAGTATAAAATGAAACATTTTGCTATTTATTTATCTGGTTTTAGTTCGGTTCAGTTTCAACGGTTTTAATTTCGGTTAGTCTCTCACTTGTAGGTTGGTAAAAAATTGACGTTAATATAAGTATTCACATTCAAACAAACTCAAAACTTCAAAATCTAGTCATTTGCAGACTAAATGCTTTATGTAATTTAAAAGAAAGTTATGATGATCACCATACTAAAATTTAACTTGAAACAATGTTCAACATCAAGCTGCCTTATGACATTACTTTATACAATCCAATTGAAAAAGTTTAGTTTACTATACTAAAATTAAAGTTCAAACAAAGTTCAACGTCAAAATGCCTAATGACATTAGTACAACATGAACAAATAAATTGTTCATGCAATTCAACAAAAAAAATTTGATGTTTAAAGTCACTACTTTGAAATTTTGATTAGTTCAAAACTTTCCCGCTCACTTTATTTTTTTTTTTTGGAAACTACCGCTCACTTTTCTTTTGAACACTTACTATTCAAAGGTTTATGAGGCATTTAAGCTTGTAAACGGGCTTGAGAGGCATTTAAGCTTAAGAATACAATACTTGAGAAATCCTTGAACTTCGTGAAAGTGAAACCGATAAATGAAAAGTCATTGAAGCTTGTGAATTAGAAACTTGAGATTGCTTTGGAGTTTGTTGTGGTTGTGTATTAAGAGTAAGAGAGACGATGCTTGTGCATTAACATTCATTAGATTGGCTATGTATTTGTATTTCACAATGTACGAGAGATTTACATAATACAATGAAGATGTCTAGAGCTTTACAAGCAAAGTAAACGGATGATGAAAGAGGAGTGGTCTGAGAAGGAAAGAACTTTTTGCTGGTGTGTTCTCTCTCTTTTCCGTGTCCTTCCCCTGGTTCTTGCTCCAGCTCTCTGTGCCTACAAGATTAGCAATTACACCAATATTTGACGAACATGAATACAGTTCATCACATATATTTCGATTAGTTTAGATCGCCAAAGCTCAGAAATAAACACATATTCATGATGTATTCATAAATATAAACATGTGCATATTCATTTGTATATTTGGATCTCTATTACCCGTGAGTTTGTGCCGGGTTGAACAGGCTCCTCCGAGCGTCCACTCCTCCATCTCGAAGGAAACAAACTATAGCAAAGGTAAAGTAACACACTCTACTCCTCAGCAAATATTCAATTTTTGCATTTTCTTTGCAATAACTAACATCAGTAAGATCGTATTGAGACATATATTTATTGGATAAAGGAAAATTCATCCATTACCTCTCTTTTGAGATCAACAAGTCTTCGGAGGCTTTCTAAATAGATTCATTCCCAATGATAACAAACCTACCGGATCACAAACACTGCATGTATTTTGTTCCTCATCTCAGCAAAAATGATAAAGCAAGAGAAAATAATGAGACAGCCATCCTTGCCGGGGATGATGCTATGTTGATTGAGTTTCCTAGAAATAGACCATGGCCACTGAAGCAGATCCAATAAATCAACCATGGTCACCCAAATAGACTAACAGAGAAGAGAATCGAGGACGGACTGACAGGCGTTGACTCTTAGAACTTCAAAAATGGACAAGATTGAACCCTCATAAAATCAATATAGGTGCATAATCTACAAAAAACAATATTCAAGGAAGACGAAAATTCAACTATCGAAACCGAATCGAGACCAAATAGTTCAGTACCATTATGTTTGGATGAAGAAATTTAAGATTACTAAAGAATTTTAAAATAACGAAAATTTAAATGATGGAATTTTATTTTATAGAATTTGTAAATTTTTTTGTTTGGGTAACCTAAAAGAACAATGAAATTGAATACGAAATTCGTTGTTTTTAAACTCTCAATTATAGAAATTGGAAAATGACATCTATTTACATGGAATTTAAACTTAGGAATTGGAGGTCCCAAATTCCAAGTTTTTTTCCATGCGGAAATTCTAAATTTCTATGTTTAGGAATCCAAACAAAGGAATTGGTGCATGTCAATTTATAAATTATGTCTTTAATTCAAATTCCAAATTTATTTCCTTCATCCAAATATAGTGTACAAGTATCAATATCACACTAAATTATATATATAATTTTAAATTTTAAATATAATATATAAAATTCTAAATTATTATAGCCGTAGATTTAATATGTTTTAAATTTAATTGAAACGGTTGATAACCAATGATTGATAAATCGAACTGCACATTTTAATCTGAATTGTTATCCCTGGCCACGTGGGCCTCCTAACACGCGGGGCCCAGATGTTGAGCATCACATCCAAAGTAGTGTGCTTTCCTCTCTTTAAAAAAGGCAGGCTCCATCATTCGAGTCAGCCAAATATAAACCCAAATGTTTTGGGTTTAGGTCTTGTTGTTTGGGGTGGGGGGGGGGGTGGGCAATTTTTGAATTTAAACCCTAATATTTGGGTTTGGGCCTCTTGTTGGAGTTGGGCTTTAGGTATTCACTCGGTTGGCCATCAGTTGGTCTTGCACTCTTGCATTGCGGTCCCCTTATGTTCCGATGGAATTCCAAGAAAAGGGAATGTCAATCGTTCTGGCAAGGGAGGAAATTCTTCATTACTCAAACGTGATATTATTTCACCATACAACCGTCATAATTGTAACCCTCTATGTTCTTTGTTACTATCTAAAGATAATCTTAAGAAAAATTCATTCGACTTAAAGACCATTTAACCATTCAAGTACATCAAACAAATCGACGATTATGATACCAAGTAACATCCTCACGATGAATAGTCAAATTCCTTAGATTTATATGGAAAGGTACACAAAAGAAAATTAAAACCAAAAACTATTTCAAGTTGTTTTTGTTTTCAAGGTTTTGTTTTCATTCACTCTTCTTATTTCTTTTCCTACCTCTCACTCAGTGGCGGAGCCACTTGAGGACTAGGAGAGGCCTAGGCCTATCATGAAGTTTCTTCACTTTTAGTTTCTGTTTATGCTTTTGATTGGATAGTTTGTATTCTTTGACTTATATACTTTTCCTCTTAGATAGCTTTATTATATTTCTCTAATTGACAAAAAAAAAAAACGTGTTTTACGGAAGTATTGTTATGAAACCAAATACTTATATCAACTAGCATTCTTTAGTTAGTCACCCTTTTGTATGATTTGTTGAACAATGAAACCATGCATATATGGCATGGAGGAATAATTTTTTATCAGTTCGGTGCAATAATTTTTGTTCAATTTCAATGCAGGAACTCGGTGCTTGTGATATAATTATCTCAATCTTAATTTTTTTTTTCACGACTTCATTCCTCTCTTATGATTAAAATTCCCCATTTCACTAAAAAAAAATGAACTTTTCTCGCATTAGTTATGTTATTTTTGTCCAACTTCTTTCATACGGCTTAGAGGCCCCTGCTAGCTTCGATTTCTGGCACTGCCACTGCTCTCACCACCCTTGTTTCTCCCCACCTTCCCTTTATACTCTCCATATCTAAAGCACAAAAAAGGTGAAAACTAAAAACATAAAACCAAACGGCTATTAAACGTACCCTAACTGCGTGTTTAAACCCATCAATGTCCCTCCCTCCCACCACCCTTCCTCCAATGATACACCATGAAAGCACAATGACCAGCTTCAGTTTCGATCACATACGATTTAGTATCGGATAATTGCAGATAGAAATTGGATTCATTTATCCACACAGATTGAGATATCAATTCCCAAAGGCAGTTCCCAGACGAACAATCAATCTTAAGTTGATATACAACTCAAGTAGCTAGAGAAATATAAAACACTAGCTAAGGTCACAAACTTACAATGCTGAACCAAAAGTTAGCTGCTACCAATGGAAGTAAACAGCAGTGCATCTACGGTACTACATCAAGGCGTCCCAAATTATAACGAATATCAAACCTCTTTTGACCTAAGAACATCATACATCCTGGACTTCAACTCTTCCGTGATACACACTCAATAACTGAGATACTTTGTTTATATATCTCGCCACAAACCTCTCCAAGAACAACTTCACAGGCACCAACACAGAACACAAACTCACAGTTTGAATCCCGTTTATCAATCCTTTCAACAACTGAACATCGGGGGTATAAATCCCTTCTCCAAACTGTAAAACATGACCACTGGTGATCTGGCAATCATTTCCGACGGCCATCCCATCTTGTTCACTAAAAATTCCAGTGTTATCGTTAGTTTCTTCTCGGACGCATTCATACAGACCTACAATTTGATAAGACAAGTGCTGAAAATACAGCACAAGGGAATCAAACAGGCACAATGATACGTACCTAGGCCATGGCCACTGAGAAAAGGCTAGCTTCCATAGGCAATTACTCTGCATTACAAATCTTATCAAAGCCTGATCTTTTGTCCCTTGAAAAACGCAAAAATCAGCGACAAGAGTTGCATTTTCGTTTTTTTTAATAACGCAAGCGTTGCATAATTCTTACAAGCGCAAGGGAAGCACAATGATACAGTGATACTTTACCCAGCCATTGCCACAGAAAACAAGGATAACTGCTTGTGGAGGAATATCATTAGACACTAGCAGAGCATAACACAGACTACTCGCAGACAATCAACGATATCCAACACAACTTATAATGTGAAAATTCACACAAGTTACTTTTGTATTTTTCATCTCCAGAATAAGATTGTACAATCTACCAAAGGCAGTTCCCAGACGAACAAACTCAAGAACCATCTACAGTTGAACGCACCACAACCACAGAGAGCAGCGCCTGTCATCATCAAGCTGCTTTCAGATACGTTAACAAGATATGCATTTCCTGCATTAAGATTATAACTTGTCACTTGAAAGGTTTTCACTGTTCTTGGCTGTTTCAATCTTTCTTTTTGGTCGAGCCAACAAACTACCTTTCATAACCTTACTTCCCTGGCTTTCTGGTTAGGATTTCTCTTCCTTAGACTTCACATTGAACCGAAAAACAAAGCAGTAGTTTTCGCACAGTTTGCTCAGCTTCGGATCCGATACTGCAATAGATATGATCTTGCATCCCGGCCCTCACTAGCTCTTCGCATGGTTATGCAAACAACATGCCCGAGGGAAATTAGTGTACATAACTAAATGAGGTACTAGCAATGAGCAGTGCTGCATTGTTGGGTACAAATAAAACAGCAGTTACAATACTGAGCTAAAAGCTAGATGCTACCAATGAAATCTAACTCTTCCACATTCCACTTATTTTCCTCTAAAGTACAAAGAACGTACACACACACATATTGCACGGAGTGGCAGGTTTTTTCATTCCTTCATTGCCACAATAGATTAGATTGAACCCCAATAAAGCAACATATGTGTATAATCTATCGAATGCAGTTCCCATACGAACAAAGTCAAGAACACCAATCTTAAGTTGAAAGCACCACAATCTGGTCAAATCTCAAGTTAATTTCAAATACAACAACAACTACAAAAGCCTTTTCCCACTAAGTTAGTTCCAAATAAGAAAGTAAATATATAACTAAAGTAGCTAGACAGTGGAACGCTAAGACAAACAAATAATTAACAAATGAATTCATTTCTAGAAAAATATAAAACAGTACTTAAGTTCACAAACTTACAATGCTGAGCCAAAAGTTAGCTCCTACCAATGGAAATGAACAGCACTGCATCTACGATACTACCACCATCAGACATCCTGGACTTCAACTCTTTTGACCTACCACCATCATACATCCTGGACTTCAACTCTTCCTTGATACACACTCAATAACTGAGGTACTTCATTTATATTTCTGGCCACAAACCTCTCCAAGAAATACTTCTCCGCAGGCACCAACAAAGAAGACAAACTCACATTTTCAATCCCCTTTATCAATCCTTTCAACAATAAAACTTTAACAACTGAACACCTTGGAATCACTCTCTTCTCCAAACTTAAACAGATGACCTGCGGGCTTTTTACAATAATTTTTGAAGACCACCCCATCTCGTTCACTAAAAATTCCAGTGCTCGTATTAATTTCTTCTCCGAGACAATCATACAATAAGGCTGACTCCTGAAAGCAGAGAGAACATCATCCTCAGACCAACCCCACCTCTTATAAATTTTGCGACTTCGATTCCATACAGACCTATTGCTACCACACAATGCGTATATTGCGAGTACCGATTTTGATTTTTGCAGATTAAAACCCATTTGCTTAACCTCATCCACAAGTTCACCAAGCTCTTTAGGCTTTCGCATAAAAACCTTGGGGTGATAAACAAGCAAGTGAGAAATGCAGGATTGGGGAATACCAGAATCTCTCAAAACCTCAATATTTGGCGCCACCTTCTTAGAGTGGCCTTCAGCAAAAATCCAGGAGCCGCGCCTTAAAACGGAAACGACATTTTTCTGAGAAAGCAGACTCCTAAGGAAATCATAAGTGGGTGCAATCCGTTTCTCCAAGCTCGTAGACAAAAGATTCGGTTCATATGCCAGAGTTTTTGCAAGGTACCCCTCTGAAAATCCAAGAGAAGCGAAAAACTCAAGCTTTGGCAAAAGGGTTTTCTCCGGATTGGAGTTAAGAACTTGAGAGTGATTCCTGACGATATAGGAGATCTGGCTCTCAGAGAATCCATGGTTACTAAGTAAGGACAAAACGGAGTCTGCACTTTTGGGGGATCGCAACTCGACCCACTTAGACGCTGAAATCGCACCTTCTGGGGACAGCCCACATGAGTTTATGAGGTAATTGACTGTGAAATCGTGGTGGGTTTCTGAGCTTTCTGAGGTGAAGCGTCTGCAGAGTAGCATATTTTGAAGAGGAAAGTGCGAGGGTTTTACATCTCCAACTACAAATCGTTTAAATGTGGAAGCTACTATGCAGGAAGATGGAGAATGACACAATCTGAGGGTAACGACTTTCAATTTGGAAAGCAATACCATCGTTTCAGTTAAGAATAGATGATCAATTTCCAATTTTGAACTGGAAATGGCCCCAAAAAACCCTACCAGGTCTTCCGCTCACTGGGTTTTTGGTTTTAGCATATTTCAATTTCTCATCTTTTCCTTTGGAGTTTAATAGAGGTTAGCTTTTAGTTGTGGAATTTATTTAATTATTATTTCTAGCCATTTGTTATTCATTATTTTTTTATCGTTTGTAGATGGCGTATTATCGCAATAATTGAAAAAAGTTGTTCTTATGTCTCTCTATGCGGGTATGATCTACACCAATTCGTTTTTTCTCTAACAATTAACTATTTAGCCTACTAACACTATCGTTCTACTAATAAAAAAGTTGGTCATGTATTGCATATGATCAAACCCAATTTCTCTTGTTGGAGTTATAATCCTACAAAATTGGAATCAAATTCAACTTTTCGGTCAGTATGGATTGCTTAAGGATTTCATGATCGTCCACGGTTAGACTTGATATCAGTGATACAAATTAAATAACACGAAAGCCCATCCATTTCTCCACATTTGATATCAAATCCAAAAGTGATGGCTCGTTCATTAACGCTTTAAACACACTTTTTCGTTTTGCAGATACAAAAACGTGTAAAAAATGTTTGACATACTGTTTTGTAAAAATTGACTCAAAACAATATTTAGCCTAAGTTCTGTATAATATTAAATTGGTGTTTCCTCTGTATTTCAAGAATGATTTTCAAAATAATAGAACATAAAATATACATTGTAAAACAAAGGTAGAGTTTAATAAATAAAATTATGTATGTCACCACTACCACCACCACCGCCACCACACAACCTTCTCCATCATCCCACAATCATTACCACCACCACGACCATCTCTGACACCACCATCATTGCCACCACCATATCCTCCACTGCCACCACCAAGCCACAACAACCTCCACCGTCTCACCATCACCACAATCAACAACAACACCACCATCTTGCCATGACCATCGCCACCATCACTACCACCACTACCATATTTTACATCGCTATCACCAACCACCACTACCATCACCACCTATACTATCTCACCGCTACAGCTGCCACTACCATCGCCACCATCAATACATTCTTCAATCCGTTACCTTCATCATTGCCACCACCACTCCACCATCTTCACCGTCTCCACCCCATTACCCTCACCACTACCACCACTCCAACCACCATTGTTACCAACACCACTCTCTTCTCAACGACCATGACCACCATTACTATCACACACAAATTTATATATATTGACTTTTTAGATATTGGTACGAGACACATTTTCACTATTTTTCATTACCAGATTAATTGTCTAAATTATTCTCAAATCATAAAAATCGAAATTCCTATTTGTGGTTTTCATTTTAAGAAACAGATTTTCCAAAAATTGTTTTGCAAGGCATTACCAAATGGACATAAATGACCATATATTCTTTGATCAACTGTTAACCAACAAAATTATGATAATGATTTATCTTTATAGTCTATAAATAAGTGTGGGCATTGTTCGATTTGGTTGGTCACAACTTGATAGGATTTTTACCATCCCAAAAAGTAAGGATAAAAATACTTAAAAATATTTGCAAGAGAACAAGGTAGTCGTAGTATAGTAACTCAAGCAAGGTTTTGAAAAAGGTTGATTTTATAACTTAAAATATTAAAAACGAAATTAATTAAAAAGATTAGAAAAGCAATATCAAAGAAAAGGAAATGAATTTTTTTTGAAAACCAAATTGTAAAAGTCTAGGTTCCGCCGTCACCTTAACAATTTTATGTAGTTTAACCGATTACTTATGAATTACATATCCAACTTTAAAGGTTAGGTTTTCCTAATACATATTCTCCTCTTGATATTCAAGCAAGAACGTATATCTAACATGCAACCCATTTGTGATATTCAGATGAAATATGAACATACAAGACTCATTAACTTTTGTGAAAACCCTTTGAAAAACCAAATAACAATTATTAACCACAAGAAGTAATACTCAATCATCCGGTGATATTCTGGTCAAATTGCATCAGATTACTTATTTAAACATCCTAATGGTAGCTAAACAATAATAATTCAAAGTATGCATGCATAATATCATAAGCAATTGAATAAAAATTACATATTCATGTTAAGGCTCATGGCCTCGCTCTAGCAAACAAAGATTTAGTTACGTGCAACCATAAAACAAAAGGAATTTTATTGAAATAGAAAAAGGATAGAATACCCCTTGAAAGAAAAAAATACAAAAGTTCTCCAAATTGATGCGTCTCCCTCTTTTTAAAAACCCTAATGGCTAAATATCTTTATTTATACTACTATAAAATAAAACTCTAAAAGGTCTTAGAATAAAACTAGGAAACATAATAAAATAATAAACTAGCAAATAAAAGGTTTCGTATTTAAATTGAAATTCGAACTTCTCATAAAATTAGACTTTTGACCAACCAAATTAACTCCGATTTGGGCCCAAAAGGTCTAGTTTGAAAGCTGAAGACGTCCCTATAAATCCTCAAAAAGAATCTTTCTCAAAATATGCCATTTTGACCTCCAAACTATCCAAAACGTTCAAAAACGTCAATTTGGAAAATGTACGAGCTGGGCCTTAATTTCATTGCCACGGTCAAACGGCTCAATAGAAAAATCTGAAACTTTGATACAATCATCTAGAAAGGCTCATGAACATCCTCCAATTGGAATCACTCCAAAATTCGTCCATTTAATTATTTTATGCTCAAGAGGAAGTCGAATGTCCTACATTAGAAATATAATTCAAAGTATCAAAATCTCACCAAAATAACCAATAAATTATAACTAAGAATAGGGTAAAATATATAGCATAATATCAACTCATCACAACTCACAAGAAAAATGAATGTCTATGTGAACGACATGATTGTCAAGTCTTGGCTTATTCTTTTTTAGCGGCTCACAAATGAATGTAGCCTGTCCAAAATGGATTTAGATCTCAATCGGATTCTCTTCGTGAGAATCCTAGCGATCCTCACATCTTCTCCGTTACCGTACATCGTGCAACCATAATCATTTTGAAATTTTTTTAATTTAAAATTAAACACAAACAGTACCTAATGAAAACTGACCGCACGATGTACGATGAACGGATAAGATATGAGAATCTCTAGGTCTTCATAAAGAAGATCCGAAGAGGATTCTCATCCGTCCAAAATATCCTAGATTTCCTTCTCCGTCTTTGGTACCGACATATGTTGATTATTTCTTTTCCTTCTCAATAAAAGAAAGCCAAGAACGCCACCTCCTAATCGGTTCCCATATATCGGCGGACAAATTCTAACACATGACCACTGGTGATCTGGCAATCATTTCCGACGGCCATCCCATCCTTTTCACTAAAAATTCCAGTGTTATCTTTAGTTTCTTCTCGAACGCATTCATAGAGACCTATAATTTGATAAGACAAGTGCTGAAAATACAGCACAAGGGAATCACAAGGGCACAACGATACTTACCTAGGCCATGGCCACTGAGAAAAGGCTAGCTTCCATGGGCAATTACTAACAGGCAATTACTCTGCATTACAAATCTTATCAAAGCCTGATCTTTTGTCCCTTGAAAAACGCAAAAATCAGCGACAAGAGTTGCATTTTCATTTTTTTTTAAAATAACGCAAGCGTTGCATAATTCTTACAAGCGCAAGGGAAGCACAATGATACAGTGATACTTTACCCAGCCATTGCCACCGAAAACAAGGATAACTGCTTGTGGAGGAATATCATTAGACACTAGTGTTATCCATATTGTTTATATGATCAAAACACAACATATACAATTAGATATAAAATTTATATGAAGCACTTACTTGATGAAGATGCAGCAGCCATGTGGACTATGCGTGGCTAGTAAACACCAAGTCTGATGCAGTTGTTGTGATCGAACAGTACACCGATTCTTCTGCAAACTCCTAGCTTTATGAAAATGCTCTATGGGAAGCTTTAGTTGTCGTGTCTAGGGTTGGCAGGGACCGGTGCTTATATACTAGCCAAAAGTCTTAGATTCCATCCATAAGGGAAAGCTAAGAACTCTCCTTACTTGGCTCTTAAGTAAATTATCATAATCATATATTATTATTATTAAGGAATCAATCAAAACCTACTTATATTGTAAGACACTTAATGTAGGGTTGATATAAGGAAAGTAAATCGCAACTCAACTGATCTCCAACTTATACATTCCTATTACATATAGTAGACCATTTATGGTTGATTTATATTGAATAAATCCAACATTCTCCCACTTGGTCTACTAATTGTAATGATCATGCTTCAAACATATGTCGGAGATCATTGTTTCTTTAATGGCCATATCACTGCGATCCAATCCCATCCTTAATTCAAATTTCTGTCAAATGGACTTCTCAATGCAGGACTAACAAGGTTGTAAAGATATTTCATCTCAGAACCTTCATAATCACATACATTGTGTCAACCATTCACATGAAAACCATCAAATTATGATCTAGAGATGAACCTTAACTCAAGAAATGTCTTACACTATATCATCTCAGGTCCACTTTAATTGTAACTTTATTAAGTCACACCTTATGCCGTTTGAACGATATACATGTTTGCCAATGCAAACTTTTTACCATTCCAAAGTCACATTTATGCTTTTAAGTAGCCTTCATGTTTACCAATGTAAACTTTTTATCATTCCGACATCACACTTATGCTTTTAAGTAGCCCACATGTTTACCAATGTAAACTTTTTATCATTCCGACATCACACTTATGCTTTTAAGTAGCCCACATGTTTACCAATGTAAACTTTTTATCATTCCAAAATGCCACCTTATACTTTCAAGCATTCTGCATGTTTGCCAACGCAAACTTGTATTGTTCCAAGATGAACTTATGCCAGATGTATGAAATATGCATGCAACACGTGAACACAAATAATTAAAAAACAAACAACAATCTTTATTCAAACCCAACCTCGGAAACAAACCACATCTCTAACCCGAAACAAGTTTGATTCACTTATTTTACTGCAGCTGAAGGAAAACAGCTTTTTACTCCCACTAACTCAGCATATCAAAGTTCGAGATCAATCCCATATTCTCTACGTGCTTCTTAAAAGAC